AGCTTCATGTAATTGGATTTGAAGCACATTCCTGGGCTTCCTCTCTCACATGTTAAAATGAGAGGAAATATATCAAATATTAGGAGTGACCATTATCTATGCATGAATGCCATCACGAAACATGCAAAAAAGAAAAACATAATATTAAATATTATTCTTCCATGCTGCTGCATGAGGACTGTTGATAAGCCTATAGTTAAAGTGTAAAAAAAAAAAAAACAGAATTGTTTGACAGTTTTTGGTCCAAGAGACAGAGAACTTGGGGGAAAAAAGGGAAGAGGAGAGACTGGAATTTGAGAAAAGTTCCCATTGATTGAAAAATTAAAGTTAGATGTATAATTTTAGTTTTATTGGTGAAAAATCATATATTAGGTTATAATTTTTAGATTTTTCCACTAATACCCACATCATTCCAATTATTTTCACCTTAAAAAAGTCTTATCAAGTTTTTTTTTTGTTAAATTTTTATGGTATCTCATTTGATCGAGTATTTAGGAGTATATTAATATTTAAATTTTTTTTTTGAGAATGAATTTTTGACAATTTCAATTACTCGATTTTGAGTTATCAGAATTATATTTTTCATTAATATTTTTAGTTGATTCTTTTGTAATGTTTATAATATAAGATATGATTTTTATTTTGAATTCAGTGATTGAATTAGGATTTTATGTGTTAAAGAATCAAAATTTCAATAATAAGTCAAATGATTCTGAAAACTCATAATTTCTAATTTACAAGTGCCATTTCAGCGACTTTTAGCTATTGAAAAATAGGATTTAGATCACTTTGTTTGTGACCTAAATTTGGGTTTTATAGCAAGATATGGAAGCTTTGTTTTGATATTAATCAGAACTATGAGTTAGACTTGGATTGTTTATTACGAGAGCTTAAAGTAGACTAAATGATTATTTATAAAAATATATTTTTAATTATTTTTAATCAATTTTTTATTAATTATATTATAAATTGTGAAAACTTCGATTATATAAATTTCAAATGAATTTTTAACAAGAATGGATATATTTTTGATAAATTATTTTTGAGTTAGCATATTTTCAAAAATTTTGTTTTTTTTTTCTAAAATTCTAAAATTTCAAGTTTTAATATGCCAACCATTCATTCTTCATGTACATTCTTCTGCTTTCGTTCTTAACATTTAAAATTGATAGAATAAATTTTTGACCTTAACATAAACTGGGAGCCATGACATGATTGCAGGCTGACTAATTGGACTTAAGATCAATTACAAGAAACCTACAGGATGCATAATCATGGGATGCTGACACCCCTATCAAAACCTGGAAATGTGTGTACAACAATCGGACTTCTAACATTGTGAGTTCCATCTGACCATACCAACGATGCAGACAACATAGATGCTACATCCATAGCTTTTCCGGTAACAGTAACATTGTAAGACTTCTTCTCCTTTAAGGACTTGAAGGACAGAACTTCAGGAATCACTTTGACCCCAAGTTTCGAGTTGGAAGAGACTTTCACCTTGTAAGTAGATCCTGCTACACCAACATTTGTAACTGTTCTATGAAAACCGACTGTGAAAGACTTGCCTACTGGAACTTCAGCTGTGAGTGAAGGATAATTGAGATCCCTCGGCAGCATATTTTTGGAAGTTTCAGGGCAAGAGCTGTTATCTCCTGTCATTTGTCTAACTTTGCCTTCATCATACCCAATGCTGCACAAAAATCTTATGTAGTCCCCTTTAACAGCTTCATATACGAGCCCAGGATTGATAGCTTCTACAGGGTTGACATGACCAGATCCATAACCAAATTCACGATCTGGATTATTGGACCGATCCATTGGCAAAGCTATAGGAAACAGGGAAAAGAAATCGTGAGATTGAAAAGCAACCTATATGAAGTCAGATTTGTTACAACAATGATATTTGATAATATGAAGAATACCGGTGGTCATGATAGCAGATTTGATGAATGAAGGAGACCAATCAGGGTGAAATGTTTTAACATAAGCAGCTACACCTGCAGCATGAGGACAAGCCATGGAGGTTCCAGATGCTAAACTGTATTTAACTCGCCTCTGGTCTGTTGGAGTCTCTGAAGGTGAAGCAACTGGTGAATATGCAGCCAAGATATCAACTCCAGGGGCACTTATATCCGGCTGAATGACATTTAGAGCATTACTTAGTGAAAAAAAAAAGAAGTAAAAATGTGAAGCGAAAGCTATGGGTTAGAAGAAATGCATGCCTTTAGAATATCTGGTACAATGAAATTAGGGCCCCGTGAAGAGAAGGAAGCAACCATAGGAGCAGCGGAATCTTTAATGGTTTCGCTTTTCAGTATTTCCGCTTTAGGTTGCCTGTGACAGAAAAGAAAGGTAATAGTTTGAATTTGCCTAACATATGGAAATGTGCTTTAGAAAGCAATTTCTAGAAATCTACATACTTGACGGAATTCAGGTAGGACTTGACTGATTCATAGTCCTCACTTTCTAAAGCTGAAGTAGGAAATGGGACAACAAATGAAACATTTACAAGTAAAGTTGGCACAATTGATCCTAAAGCACCAGCATTATGAGCTTCTTCATGTCCCGAAAACTCATCGCACAGCACAAGCTTACCCTTTACCAAACTACTGTTCAGGCATCCGGTCTGGCACAGCCTGAAAGGGTCATCAAGTGTCAAACATTTTTATTATTCTAAATCGTTGTGAATGAAAAACTAAATCAAAGGCTTGTCAAGTGAAACCAACCCAGCACTGCCTTCATCGCAATGAGATGTTACTTGTAGCCCATAAACTAAAGGAAACTTGGTTCCGTTAAGGCTGAAAGGATGAATTGAAAATCCCTGCTTGCGAAGAGGAAATTATTAGAGTAAGTTGAAACTATGATATTAGTAGATGGGAAAGAGCAGTATGGTGCTTACATTTAAAGTCTTGCCATTCCCTAGAACAACCTTGTCAATAAATAGGCGATCCGTGTTGCTTGCTGCAACAGTAAGTATCCATGGTGCTACACTTGACACTGACTGTGGTCCTGCTATACCGCTATTGCCTCCTGCTTGCATGGTAAGTATTCCTTTTTCAGCTGCATGAAAAGCACCAATGGCTATAGGGTCCTGGTAAAATTCAGATGAAAATCCCGGCCCTATTGAAATTGTTATAAGGTCAACTCCATCAGCAATAGCATCATCGAAAGCTGCCAAGATCTCCGCTGAACCACATCCTTGCTCACCGCATACTTTATATGCGGCAATCCTTGCAGAAGGAACCCCTCCTCTTGCAGTCCCTTTAGCAAATCCAAAGAAACTTGCATTCTCTACATTGTTCCCAGCTGCTGTAGACGCGGTATGAGATCCATGACCAAGTACATCCCTGACAGAGTCTCCTACAGGTGTTCCCAAGTTGTAAAATTGAGCTCCGATGAGCTTACTGTAAGATAAGTTTTCATTTTTGTTAGTAAACTCACAAACAAAACAACATAATTATGAGTACGAGAATATCACTTTCAAGGTGTAATCTTGAAAAGAAAGAAATATGCTTACTTGTTACAAGTAAAATTTTGGCCACCCTTGCAAGAACCCTTCCACTTTTTGGGAGGTGGACCAAAGCCTTCATCACCGAAGCTTTCTGACTCAGGCCAGACTCCAGTATCAATAACCGCAACAATGACATTACTCTCAACAGTCCGATTACGTTTAGCAGTCTTATTGAATCCCATGAAATCCCATGATCTTGTTGTTTGAAGGTGATAAGCTTCACTTGGAAAAACAGAGACCACTCCTTTCATGCCTACATATCATGGCAGTGTGAAGATATATCATAAGGCATTCTAACTATTTCCCATATTAAAAGCTGCAGATAAAAGAGATTTACGCCACTGACTTGTAAGTCTCTTTGCCTCTTCATTCGTGAGCTTGGCAGCAAATCCGTTGAAGCTCCTACTGTAACTTCTGATTAAGTAACTTGCCACAGAGCTGGAGAGAGGCAGAAACATCAGATTAATGGTAAAAAAGAGAAAACTGCCTAATCTGAAAATCCCAAAATCCTACCTCTGTTTCAGAACTGCTTGGAGCATACTGGAATGGTGAGATGATGGAAAGTATTCTCCTTCAGGCAGTGATCCCAAGTATGCAATGTAAACCTGCATCGTGATTATAAATATGAAGCAATTCAGATAACATTGTTAAAGGCTCAAATTATGAAAATCCTTATTTTTTTGTTTGGAAATTTCAATGTATATTCGCAACAGAGGGGAATTAATCATTCACCTACGGAAAAGCATACAGCAGATTTTGCCTTGTTACACCCTAGTTGTAAGTATAACATTACAAAATCAGCCTAATACTTCAAAAGCTATACTAGAATCTGGAGCTTTCGATACCAAGCCTCAAGATCTCAGTTTCTCCAGAACATCAGCAAAAGAAATCACAACAAAAACATGACCACCATACAGACTCATCAGACAAGAAATAATCACAATTATGAAACTCATTTGAAAGCTGTAAAGATAACACTTGCCTTTCTGTCTTCCTCTGCAGCACCAGAGGGTAGGCTCATGCTAAGCATGAGAATCAAAGAAATGCCAAGAAACAACAGAATACCTGGTTTTCCCATCGTTCTATATTTCAGTATGAATGAAATTGAAAAACTGATAAATGGTATTTTATAGTGGTGTCAGAAGATTTAATCTCATGTCCAATTCACTGGTATCTTACATTTTTTTCCATAGATAGCCAATGCATCTTAGGAAATTCAGACAACTGTGATGACAGCATGAATTGTTATAATTTATGACCATTTCAGGATGATATATTTCCTTCAGGTTCAGTATGTTTGGAAGGTTTGCTGTAGACAGGATTTTTCACCATCTGAAGCTATGCAAATATAAAGTATGAATGGCCACTTTGAGAAAGTAAGACCAAATTTCTTGCAGTATTTATTGCTGCTAGCTTTTTTTTTTAAATAAGGGCAAGATCATTTCATTGACAGGAGCTGGCAAGGGGATTGCCAGAAAAGATGCAGAGAAGGTAGAGAATTATCCCTTCAGTTGAGAATTCCCTGTAACAAAGAGACCTAAAGGGCTTCACAATTCAGCCATGAGAAAGCTATAAGTCCTAAATGGCAACACAGTTCAGCCACAAATACACAGGACAGGATAAAAAACAACGGGTGCTGAAAATATTCATACCCACCTGTACATGCAGAAATTAAATAGATAAACAACAGAAGAGCGGCCACAACAGATTTACAATAAACTCCCAAAAATGAATGTCCATCTTCCATACTCATAATCAAGGAAAAGGTAGGGATGAACTGGAAATCATTGTTGGTGTATTTTCAAGATCAAAGGTTATGTCACATGATGAAAAGCTATCTTAGCTCAAAAGTTATGTCACATAAAGTGATAGAACGTATCTATTGGATTATAGACATATTTTCATGTGAATGGTTATGTCTCTTAGTAAAATGATATCCAAAAATTATGAGACAAATTGAAAAGATACCATAACTCAAAAGTTATATATGAAAAGTTATTATTTCAAATTATAACTCAAAGGTTATAATTTATGAAATGAATAGTTATCTTTTCATAAGATGATTATTTAAACAATAATTTTACCTAAAAGTTGTGTTTGGTAAAATGAAAAGATGTCTTTTAGAAAAAATGATGCCTTGATGAAAGAGTTGTGTCTTGAAAAAAAAAAGACACTTACAAGCCTATATAAAAGACTTATTGTTAATCATTTTGACACATCAAAAAAAATACAAAAACAAGAGCAGAAATGTTAAGAGCAAAAAAAGTGTTATGTTTTAATAACATAAACACTTAAGTTTCCATCAATTACAAAAAACTTCTAAATTTTTTATAATTTACTTACTGCAGAAAGTAGGTTCTAAGGTCAAATAATTTTGTAAACCCTTGAGTGTATCTAGCAGTCTACTTTCGTAAAATACAATACGAAGTTAGACGTTAGCTTCATTGTATCCTTAAAACTATTCATATTATTTCTATTTACATACCAAGTAATGGAGACAAAATAAATCTTAAAGATAATATTTATTTAAAAGCTCATCTTGAAGTCAAATTTACCAGTTTCCTGAATTCCATCGAAACCCCATTTGCACCAACAACCATCATGTATCATTATCATCAAATCAGTCGCAAAGGAAGCATTAAAATACTGCAGAGAATTTACCTGGGCACATAACAGCGGCTTTGGCAAGTCCATCAGCAAGGCTATTGTCTTCTCTAAAAATGTGCTTGAATATAGAACCTTTGACATCACAGTTGAGAACCTCAATGCTATTTGATAAGCTGTTCATACGCCAACGAACAAACTATGGTTACTCACCAGTTGATGGCATTGCTGCTAGCTTTTTAGCAGCTGGATAGATTGTGGTCATACTTTTACAATCCGAAGAATCAACTTATAACTTCATAAAATTGGATTTTGAGCAGATTCTTACCCTGCTTCCTCTATTTAAAATGTGGGATTTAGGGGAATATTAACATGCTCTTGCAAGAAGTCCTACTCTGCATGATCAAAAATGCTGTCCCATGCTAAAATCTGAGTAGTTCTTGATGTATGGCTGGTTTCCTGGTATTCAGTAATAGATACTAGAAACTTCTAATGGTCCAAAGCATAACTTTATAACATAGATACAGAATCAATGTTCTGCTGTAATCACAGAATAATTATACAGTTAGCTTGTAGAAAAGAATTTAGTAATCAGTATTATGAGTTTACATAGGAGAAGCATTTTTGAGACACTGTTCTAGTATAAAGAAAATTTCGTACACTTTTAGAGGTTGTAAAACAATTTTTCTGGATCAATGAGTTTAATTCTGCTAATTCAAAAAAATTTTACATGCACTTTCGTATTTTTCTGCTTCCAAACATGAAAATATACTGAAAATTTCTTTCGAAAACTTTTCTATGCTTTCCAAGTTCATAAAGATATTAATCCTTGACCCTCAAGTACCACAAAAAACTTCTGTCTAGGGCCAAACTTCTGTAAGACCTAAGGTTGACTGCTCAGCAAAAACAAGGAGGTAAGGTTGACTTGTCAAAAATGAAAGTTTAGCCACTTTCCTTAGGTTAAAAAATCAGTCACAAGGATACCCAGCAGATATTTCTCCAATCAATGGAGATTATTGTGGTTCAAACCTTTTTTGCAGTCGAGCCTTCCTCAGTGAAATCCTCGGCCTCTAATGATGTCACTTCACTCACTAGCATCATAAAAAGGTATGATCTGGGTGGAATTGACATTAATTATGAGAACTTCCAAGCTGATCCTGAAACCTTGGCAGAGTCCATTGAGTTGCTTATAAAGACTCTCAAGAGGAACAAGGTAACCTCATATGCTTCCATAGCTCCATATGCTGAAGATGAAGTTCAGAGACAGTCCTTGGCCTTGTGGAGGAGATATGGGAACATTATTAATTATGTCAACTTCCAATTTTGATGCATATGATAGAGGAACCACCATGCCACTGTTTTTGAGTTACTTCAACAGCCAGTGCTCAAACTAAAATGGTGGTAAGGTCTTAGTTAGTTTTCAAAGCGATGTGAGCCGAAATGTGAATCTATTGGACGTTAATCTGCTTTCTTTCTTAACATTTAAAGTTGATAGAATAAATTTTACGGCTCGAAAATGTGACTCTATTATTAATGCATTGCATGAAATTTGATTGTAACATAAACTGGGAGCCATGACATGATTGCAGGTTGTACAAGAAGTTTACAGGATAAATAATCATGGGATGCTGACTCTCCTATGTGCATCTACAAATGCGTATACAACAATTGGACTTCTAACACTGTGAATTCCATCTGACCATACCAATGATGTAGACAACATGGATGTTCCACCCAAAGCTTTTCCGGTAACAGTGACATTATATGACTTCTTCTCCTTTAAGGACTTGAAGGACAGAACTTCAGGAATCGCTTTGACCTTAAGTTTCGAGTTGGAGGAGACTTTTACCTTGTAAGTAGATCTTGCTACACCAACATTTGTAACTCTTCTATGAAAAACGACTGTGAAAGACTTGCCTTACTGGAACTTCAGCTGTGAGTGAAGGATAATTCAAATCCCTTGGCAGCATTTTTTTGGAAGTGTCAGGGCAAGAGCTGTTATCCCCTGTTATTTGTCTAACTTTGCCTTCATCATATCCAATGCTGCACAAAAGTCTTATGTAGTCCCCTTTAACAACTTCATATACAAGACCAGGATTGATAACTTCTACAGGGTTGAGATGTCCAGATCCATAACCAAATTCACGATCTGGATTATTGGACCGATCCATTGGCCAAGCTATGGGAAACAGGGAAAAGAAATGGTAAGATAGAAAAGCAAGCTAAATCAAGTCAGATTTGTTACAAAAACGATATTTATATTGAAAATATGAAGAATACCGGTAGTCATGATAGCAGATTTGATGGCTGAAGGAGACCAATCAGGGTGAAATGTTTTAACATAAGCAGCGACACCGGCAGCATGAGGACAAGCCATGGAGGTTCCAGACATAAAGTTGTATTTAACTCGCCTCTTGTCTGTTGGGGTATCTGAAGGTGAAGCAACTTGTGAATATGCAGCCAAGATATCCACTCCCGCGGCACTTATATCCGGCTGCATGACATTCAGAGCAGTACTTTAGTGAAAAAAAGAAAAAAAAGAAAAATGCAAAACAAAGTTGTGAAGAGAGAGCTATGGGTTAGAAGAAATGTATACCTTTAGAATATCTGGTACAATGAAATTAGGGCCCCGTGAAGAGAAGGGAGCAACCATAGGAGCAGCTGAATCTTTAATGGTTTCACTTTTTAATATTTCCGCTTTAGGTTGCCTGTGACAGAAAAGAAAGGTTTCAGTTTGAATTTGCCTGACATATAGAAATGTGCTTTAGAAAGCTATTTCTAGATATTTACGTACTTGGTGGAATTCAGGTAGGCCTTGACTGAAAAATAGTCGTCAATTCTTAAAGCTGAAGCAGGAAATGGGACAACAAATGAAACATTATCAAATGTAGCTGCCACAATTGATCCCAAAGCACCAGCACCCTGAGCTCCACTAATTCCCTCAAAATTATCGCAGAGAACAAGCTTATTCTTTACCAAACTACTGTTCAGGAACCCAACCGGGCAGAGCCTGAAAGGGGCCACCAAGTATCAAACATGTTTATTATTCCAAATCTTTGTAAATGAAAAACTAAATCAAAGGTTTATCAAGTGGAACTAACCCAGCATCGGTATCATAAACTAATGGAAACTTGGTTCCATTGAGGCTGAAAGGATGAATTGAAAATCCCTGCTTACAAAGATGAAACCCTTAGAATAAGTTCAAACGATGATATTAGTAAATGGGAAAGAGCTGTATGGTGCTTACATTTAAAGTCGTGCCGTTCCCTAGAACAACCTTGTCAACAAATAGGCGATCCGTGCTGCTTGCTGCAACAGAAAGTATCCATGGTGCTACACTTGACACTGACCCTAGTCCTGATGTACCGGTATTGCCTGCAGATTGCATGGTAAGTATTCCTTTCTCAGCTGCATGAAAAGCACCAATGGCTACAGTGTCCTCGTAAAATGCTAATGAAAATTGTGTTCCTATTGAAATTGTTATAAGGTCAACTCCATCAGCAATAGCATCATCGAACGCTGCCAAGATATCCGCTCCACCACATCCTGCTGCACTGCATACTTTATATGCAGCAATCCTTGCAGAAGGAACCCCTCCTCTCGCAGTACCTTCAGCCAATCCAAAGAAACTTGCATTCTCTACATTGTTCCCCGCTGCAGTAGACGCGGTATGAGTTCCGTGACCGACTGTATCCCTGACAGAATCTCCTACAGCTAAATCTAAGTTGTAAAGTCGAGCTCCGATTAGCTTACTGTAAGATAAGTTTTCATTTTTGTTAGTAAACTCACAAACTAAACAACAAAATTATGAGTATGAGAATATCTCTTTCAAGGTGTGATGTTATAAAATATAGAAATATGTCTACTTGTTGCAAGTAAAATTTTGGCCACCATTGCAAGAACCCTTCCACTTTTTGGGAGGAGGACCAAAGCCTTCATCGCTGAAGCTTTCCGATTCGGGCCAGATTCCACTATCAATAACGCCAATAATGACATCGCTCTCAACAGTCCGATTACGTTTAGCAGTCTTATTGAATCCCATGAAATCCCATGATCTTGTTGTTTGAAGTTGATAAACTTTACTTGGAAAAACAGAGACCACTCCTTTCACGCCTACATATCATGGCAGTGTGAAGATATAGCATAAGGCATTCTACCTATTTCCTATATTAAGAGCTGCATATAAAAGAGATTTACGCCACTTACTTGCAAGTTTCTTTGCCTCTTCTTTAGTGAGCTTGGCAGCAAATCCGTTGAAGCTCCTACTGCAACTTCTGATTAAGTAATTTGCCACAGAACTGGAGAGAGACAGAAACATCAGATTAATGGTAAAAGAAAAAAACTGCCTTATTTCAAAGTCCTTAAATCTACCTCTGTTTCAAAACTGCTTGGAGCATACTGGAATGGTGAGATGATGGAAAGTATTCTCCTTCGGGTAGTGATCCCAAGTATGCAATGTAAACCCGCGTCGTGATTATAAATATGAAGCAGTTCAGATAATCATTGTTAAAGGTCTGTCACTTAAATTAAGAAACTCATCTGAAAGCTGTAAAGATAATACTTGCGTTTCTATCTTCCTCTGCGGCAGCAGAGGATAGGCTCATGATAAGCACGAGAATCAAAGAAATGGCAAGGAACAACAGGAAACCTGGTTTTGCCATTGTTCTATATTTGAGTACGAATAAAATTGAAAACCTGATAAATGGTATTTTATAGTGGTTTCAGAAAATTGAATATCATATCCAATTCGCTGGTATCTAACATTTTTTTTCTACAGATAGCCAATGCATCTTTGGAAATTCAGACAACTGTATAGACAGCATGAGTTGTTGTGTGATTTGTGACCATTTCAGGGTGATATATTTCCTTTAAAACAAATAAACAAGAAGGCCAGGTTCAACGTATCTCGAAGGTTTGCTCTGGAAAAGATTGTTCCATCTGAAGCTCTGCTGTCTGGCAAATATAAAGTATGACTGGCCACTTTGAGAAAGAAAGACCAAATATCTTGCAGTATTGATTGCTGCTAGCATTTTAGCAGAACGCTGGACAGATTCTGATCATACATTTACAATCCAAGGAATTAACTTATAACTTCATAAAATTTGATTTTGAGCACAATCTTACTCTGCTTCCTCTATTTAAAATGTGGGATTTAGGGGAATATTAACATGTTGTGACAAGGAGTCCTAATCTGCATGCAAAAATCTTAGTAGTTCTTGCTGCATGGCTGGAAACTTCTAACGGTCCAAAGTATAACTTTATACTATAGATACAGAATCAATATTCTGCTGCAATCACAAAACAAAGGATTTTAGAAATGAGTATTACGAGTTTACATAGGAGAAGCATTTTTGAGATACTGTTCTAGTATAAAGAATGCCAATTTATCAAGGAAAACAAAGCATGCCAGCACTGCTTCTTGACATTCCCCGGCTTCCTCTTTTAACCTTGCGGATTTGAGCGAAAGAACAAATTTTAGGGCATAAAGAATTTTTCACAGAAATTTTTTTCAATAAATTAATTTGTATTAGCAAAAGGAATGACCCAAAACATTTTTCAAGCCCAAACCCAGACCACAATCCAAGCCCAATACTTTTGGATTTTACATTAAGAACCCAAACGAGCCCAAACCCAACCAAAAAGGCCAAGATCCAGGCTCTCTTCCACAGAGCCCTTTCTGACTTGATTGTACATCGTCATTGTTCGTACACATACATGACAAGTTGGTAACTCATAAAGAATTAATTCCTGAACCTCAAATAGTCAAATGCCAGAAAAATATCTTCTTTTTATGGACAAACTTTTGACAATTCCACAAGAGATTAGGTTGACTAGTCAAAAATGAATGTTTACCCACTTTCCCTGAGCTAGAAAATGGGTGACAAGGATTTCTTTTATGATTTTTATCCCCTTGATATTTCCCCAGCAGATATTTCTCCAATCAATGGAGAGTATTGTGGCTCATATCTTTGTTTGCCCTGTTAACTTTGGACATGTAGCTCTCCACTAGGTTTGCTTCAAAACTTTTGCTCTATGATATGAAATCAAGGGTGCTTCCATAAAATAGAAAGGATGGAAGGCATATTTGTCATTTGGTCTGATGAAGCAGTTCGGCAATTGCTCAAGGCATGATATAAGAGGAGAAACAAGATATTTGCATTAGGATGATTGAAAAGATAAAATATAAAAATACTCCAAAGGAGAGATTAAGCCAAAAAGTAACATTACAGAAAATTCAGAAAACTAATGTTTGAGAAATTGATCTTTAGTCTTCATATTGGTATTGTTTGAAAATTAAAAGATTGAAACAAACTTCCCTACTACAATTCACTTCCTTCTAGCCCACAACACAAAGTCATACCTAAACACTCTAGCCGAGAGAGAAAAACACAAAAAAAAAAAAAAAAAGCCTTCCTAATAGTATATAAGTACCCCTCCATTATTTTCCTCCCACACAAAATCCTGCTGCACAGAACTTTTATCTCAACAGCAATGGAACCTCACAAGCTTTTTCTCACCCTTCTCATTCTTCAAGCTCTACTGATCTGCCATATATCAACCCTATCTGCTGCAAACTCAAAGCTTTTCAGGGAATACATAGGAGCTGAGTTCAAAGATGTGAAGTTTTCTGACGTCCCCATTAACCCAAATGTTGATTTTCATTTCATTCTTTCCTTTGCCATAGATTATGACTCCTTAAGTTCTCCATCTCCCACCAATGGAAAATTCAATGTGTTTTGGGACTCAAATAATCTCAGCCCCTCCCATGTTTCTTCCATCAAGTCTAAACATCCAAATGTAAAAGTGGCATTAAGCGTAGGAGGTTATAGTGTGGGCAGTGAATTTGCTTATTTCAAGCCTTCCTCAGTAAAATCCTGGGTCTCTAATGCCGTTGCTTCGCTCACAAGCATCATAAACGAGTATGATCTGGATGGAATTGATATTGATTATGAGCACTTCCAAGCTGATCCTGAAACTTTTGCAGAGTCCATTGGGTTGCTTATAAAGACTCTCAAGAGGAACAAGGTAATCTCCTTTGCTTCTATAGCTCCATATGCTGATGATGAAGTTCAGAGACAGTACCTAGCCTTGTGGAGGAGATATGGGAACATTATTGATTATGTCAACTTCCAATTTTATGCATATGATAGAGGAACCACCATACCACAGTTTTTGAGTTACTTCAACACCCAATCCTCTAACTACATTGGTGGTAAGGTCTTGGTGAGCTTTCAAAGTGATGTGAGCCGTGGGTTAACTCCGGAAGATGGTTTCTTCACTGCCTGCAAGATGCTTAAGAGTCAGAAAAGGCTTCATGGTATCTTTGTGTGGTCTGCAGATGACTCCAAGGCAAACGGTTTCATATATGAGAAGCAATCACAAGAAATATTAGCAGCTAATTAGGTTAGTCATTTAATAGCATTATATAGAAGCAATAAAGGTGCACTATCCTAGCTGATGAAATCACTTGTCTGGATATAGATTGGATCCTATTTCTCCAGGAATAGAGCTTATGTTCTTGTTTTGTTATGGAAGACAGAAATGAAAAGAAATACCAATAAAAATTATCAAAAATAAAAACTCTGTTTTTAGCCCAAATTTTTCTCTGTCTGATCTACAACTGTTGGATCTTCTGCCCAAGAAATCTAGCACTATATGTTGTTGCTTTGTTAACCACAGGCAGGTTCAATGTGGTACTTTTCTAGTTCAGTATCCTCCTCCGTCGTACCAAAGAAGGGACAAAGAGTGGCACTTCAGTTCCAAAGGGGGGCCTGGGCTGGGACTCCAGGAATGTGTAATTATTTTAGCCCGTTTCTGTTCATGCAAATCCCAAGCATCAGATTGCAACCCCAAGGCAAAAGTCAAGACGAAACAGCAAAGCAAGCTCAATAATCAGTCGGATCAAACCATGACAATGTTGTGCTATAAAGATGGAATAATAATTCGCTAGACTGATAAATGTTATCATGATAATGGCTTCCACAAATGCTTCTGCAACAAATAATTCTTGTTGCTCTTCAAATCAATCTTGAAATTTCATTTTAATTTTACAAGATAACGATGTCTTCATTTATTGTTAATTAATTTTAAATTTTATGTTTGTCTTAAAAGGAATATTTAAGATAAAAGGGTACTTTTCTAGTGGGAGGAGATGAGTGGTATGGCATTTTTTGGTTAAGTGGAATGCCAAAACTATCAATATTCAGACCGCATTACTAGGTAAAACTAGTTTATTGTTCATGTGATGTGTTTGGGATGGTAAATTTTTTTTTTTCAATTGAGTTGAGAATACTTTGTGAAATAGATACGAAATAGTAATTATATTATCATATCTAATTATTGGTGCACATTGACAAATACAAAATATTATTTTACAAAATATGTAATTGTTGTTATTCTACTTACCATTACTTATATTTTTTATTGTTAATTTTTTTATAATATCATCTCTTAAATATATTTTTAATGTCATATATTTATTTTTATTTTTTATTATAATCTTATATATTTTATTTTCATTTCTCAATATAATTTTCTATACTATATATTTTATTTTATTTGTTTAAAAGATAATATAAATTTTATTGACAATCACCATGACTAATAAGAATAATAAAAAGACATTATCTAAATCCATATAAAAAATAAATTATAACATTATAAAATATTTTTAATAAAGTAACAAAGTTAAACTGTAGAATTTCCGTTAACAACATTACAAAGTTTAATACAATCTGATTGCATTGGTTTTAGATTGTAATCACATTACATTCTAAAACCATAATGTGATTTATTATAATTTTACATTGCAGTAGTTTGTTACAAAATAAACATTACAATATAATTTAATTGAGCACATTATAAGAAATGTGATCCCATCTCCTTCATACCAAACACTACCTAAGAGTATACATATACTTTAGCAAGACTATATTGAGTCCATCATTTCTTTCTTTCTTTTTTAATTTTTACTCCATCTTACTATGTTTGCAAATGAATACTAAAGTTATGCCAATATATATATATATATATATATATATATATATATTTAAGTTCCCTTGTATTGATATTTTGTTAGTTAGTATTTTTTATTTAAAAATTTAAAAATAAAAAGTACATTTAAATATAAGAAAACTTATTTTTTAAAATTTAAGATTTAGAAAAATTAAAATTAAACATTTATAAATAACAGTTGCATATTTTAATTTGATAAAAAAAATTATATTATATAATTTGATTGAGTAATTGACATGTGTGTATTTTTTATTAAATAAATAGTTGGATTCAAATTTTTTAATTTTTAAAGTAAAGAAAAGATATTTACATTTTAATTATTATTTTAATATTTATTAAATATAATTTAATATTTAATAATAATTATTAAATAATAAAAAATATAATAACCATATGGAAGGAAGGAAACCCTTGGGATTTTCCTTTAAATATGGTTATTGATAGATAGATTATAGATTAGTCAGAAACTTTTGTCTTGCTAGAAAGGCTTTTCATAGGCACCAAGTGTATGAAATATGAGATACTGACCCAGGCATTTGGTTTTCCTGGTGAGGTGGGAACTGAGTTGGTGGCTTAAAGCACTGTGGCCCGTGGCTGGGGCTTTCTCTATGATTTAGCCGGGTGTCAAGTCAGGAAGGCCTTGGAGTTTTCTTTAAACATAGTTGTAGATCATAAATTAGTCAGAAACTTTTGTCTTGCAAGGCCGGCTTTTCAAAGGTACCAACTGTCTGAAATATGAGATATAGACCAGGCATTTGGTTTTCTAAGCGGGGTGGGAGCGGAGTTTGTGGCTCAAAGCAATGTGGCTTGTGGCTGGGGTTTTCTCTATAACTTTACCAAGTGTCAAAGTAAAGAAACTCTTCGGGGCCTCTTTTAAATAGAGTTATAGATAGATTATTCCCACCCCACAAGCAGCAGAAGAAAACATTGGAAACAGGAAAGTGGAAAATCAAAGAGATACTATAATAATATGCATTTAAGGCAATGCTAGATCCATTGAATGTTATTCTGATCATAGGATAAACTAACTGAAAATCTCTTCCAGAACAAACTGCCTGAATTTCAATACTATTAATCAATTTAGAAGTTGAATTGTCAAAATGGGCAAAAAGTACTGACAACGGTCAATGCGGTTGTGCATTGAACTATTGAAGATCGTGATATTTTCTTATCCTTAGCTACGAGCAACAAAATGTTGAAAAGCACACACAACATATTATTCAAACCTCGAATATTGAGGATTCCTCTTATTTTCCGTGCCAGGAAATTAACCCGAGCCTACCATTCCGTCCAAGGCACTATTCTTCCTTAGTTGAGAAGATAAAGATCTTGGCTTAATTAGCTAGTATAACCGAGCCACAGGACAAAGTAACAGTTCAAGATATTGAATAGTAGCCCATTTTGCTCTAATGAACCAGGATAAAGATCCCAGAAGCAAGATTTCGGTGACGGCAAACAAACAATTTCTTTATTTTTTAATTTCCACTTGCCCCAAACCTTTGTGTTTCGTACATTGTGCCTATATAATAACCTTCTAACATGAGTGATTCAACTCAAAGCCGACAGCAGTAATCTACTCGGTTCGGAAAACAATGGGCCTTTCTAAGCTTTTCATTGCCCTTTTCGTATTCCAAGTTTTGTTTCCCTGCCACATGTCAATCCAAGCAGCTCCTGCAAATTCAAATCTCTTCCGAGAATATATAGGAGCCGAGTTCAATAATGTTAGATTCACCGATCTTCCCATAAATTCCGATGTTGAATTCCACTTCATTCTCTCATTTGCCATAGACTATGAGACCTCGGGTTCACCCTCTCCAACAAATGGGAAGTTCAATGTCTTCTGGGATTCTGATAACCTTAGCCCTTCTCAGGTCTCTGCCATCAAGAGCCGGAATTCTAATGTTAAAGTAGCCTTAAGCCTAGGAGGGGACAGTGTGGGAGATGGCTATGCTTACTTCCATCCTTCCTCTGTGGATTCCTGGGTTTCCAATGCGGTTTCTTCTCTCACAGATATCATCCAAGAGTACAACTTGGATGGAATTGACATTGACTACGAGCACTTCCAGGCTGATCCAGACACTTTTGCGGAATGCATTGGTCGCCTTATAACAACCCTCAAGAAGAATGGAGTAATCTCATTTGCTTCCATAGCTCCATTCGATGATGATGATGTTCAAAGCCATTACAAGGCCTTGTGGAAGAGCTATGGTAACCTCATAGATTATGTCAACTTCCAATTTTACGCCTATGATCAAGGAACAACAGTTTCTCAGTTTATGAATTACTTCAACACCCAAAGCTCTAACTATAACGGTGGTAAGGTTCTAGTGAGCTTTATAAGCGATGGGAGCGGTGGCTTGTCACCACAAAACGGCTTCTTTACTGCCTGCAGTAGGCTCAAGAGTCAGAACAAACTCCACGGTATCTTTGTTTGGTCTGCAGATGACTCTAAGAGAAACGGTTTCCGCTATGAGAAGCAATCACAAGCTCTACTTGCAAGTTCCCACTAGTATTTCTGTGTTTTCTATCCACTCTAGACCTTATTTACTTCCTATGAAAGCACTAAATACGAATTAGACTCTAGGGGATGTACTATACAATTTACTACCTGTGTATTGCTTTCTGTTGTATAAATTCTATTACATGTATCTGTTGTCTGCCTTTCTGTGGTATTAATGTGCCTTTAAGTTAATTGCACTTGCTCCTACCCTTATGTAGTAAATCTTCCTCGTGAAGTTCAAGGACATGTTGATATTAGACAAGCAATCTCAAAAAATCAACCACAGTATTCAACTCCTGTAGACATGAAAGATCTCACAACTTTCTGACATTTAAATTTGCAGCAGTATTCAAGCAGCTGCAAATATGTTATAGCTCGAGTAAGAAATAGCATTTTGACTAGTTAATCACAACTTTCTGATATGGTAGATATTGATTTTGACACATTTTTTCTTAAATCTAGTAGTATATTAGAATGGATGATCAACCTCCAGAATGCCTGGCAAGCAATTTAATTAAATAAGGCTACTAGCTTTCCTCATTTTATGTGTCGAGTTTAAAGGTCAAATGCTGAGCCAAGGTCAGATGGATTCCCTAGAGATTGTTAATGCAGCTGAAAGACGTGCTCCATACATGATTTACCATGAAGCCCTCTTTGGAAGAAATGTCGACAAAATACAAAAGTTTCATTTAGAAGTGTGATATTGCGAAGTCGGATATTTTTAATAATAATAAATGTGAAATATAATCTTAAATTAGAAAAAATAAAAAAAAGTGTTTATTAAGAAAAAAAATGGAGGTTGAATTAAGATGAATTAAAATGTAAATTAAATCATGATTAGATTTTTCAAATCTTGATAGGTCTTGAAATTTAATTAAATTAATATATATTATTATTTAATAAAGGCACATGACAAGTGCATGTACAAATACTACGATTAAATAATAAATTATTTTAAGTTTCAAGGTTAAATTTTGAATTAAATGATTATTAATTAATTGTTAATGGTTAGTTAACGTGTTATATCTAGATAGTTATATCTGTACAAACAATTATTTAATTGTCTCTAATAAGAGACTCATCTAGTTCACAAAAACACATAAACAATTAGTAAATAATCTCTCATCTTCTAAGTATTTCTTAAATTGTTTCTAATTTGTTTTATTATAGAAGAATTGTATAAGAATTTGATAATCTTGTCATATATAGATGAGTGCTTAGTGGACTGATTTCGTCCAAGTAAAATGTAATTAATCATCGAATTTCATTATATTCTCGAGACTTATCACTTGTAACTCTTGCGCACACCAATGATGAGACGAATGAAATTTTTAAGAACAATGAGTATTGATACAAACCTTGAAAACATTTCATAAGTTTTTGTATTTCCAATCTTGTGTTTTGAGGTGTAGTTCAAACAAGGGATGCCCCCAAACAAGGACGATTACAGTACAATTGAATAATAAATAAATAAAATGAATTCGTAAATAATAATATTAATTATAGATGAAAAATGAACATGCTGAAATCACCCTTGTTCATCTAGCATGGCCATGTTTTTGCCAGTGTTACCATCTTCACATCAACCTAAGCCTAAACAAATCTGTCCAAAATAATTCATGTAGAAGCTTCTCAGTTTTGGAATCTTCTTAAGTATATTTAACACTTTATAGTCTCAAATTTTTGCTTGTGGTATGAGACAGCTTTAACCTGCAAGAGCATGACACTCTGATAAGAAGCAAAACAAAATGTTCTGTTACTTATATAATACTGCAGAATGTTTTGACATTAATAGCTCTACGTGAATGCCATTATGGTTCTTGACAAACAATGGTGGCGACAAAAGACTTTCAACTACTTCCAGCCATAAAACTGTAAAGGCATATACTTCAAGCTTGCATGACCTTGCTTTAATCTTTGCCTTTGGTGGGAGAAAGAAAGAGTAGTGGGAATGTAGGGGTCCAGTCCTGTAAACCGATACAATCAACAATTTGACATCACATTCCCTACATTTGAATATCAAGCTGTCTTCATTTTACATCTCTTTATGCAGAAGCTTGATTTTTGTTACTGTTATTAGCCTGTTTGGTTGTAGAGAAGTTACGTCAGTAGGGGTTTCCCCGTTACTCCTCCATGACCTGTTCTTCATTAAAAGTTTGAAAAGAATAGCATGGATCTAACTCTGAAGTGACTGCTTGATGTGAACCCTGAATTTGCTTAACCAGAAAGCATTACGGTTGGGACTTGACAATGCCACTTGTGGATAATGTCAACCCACGCTTTACATTTTTAACCTCTCATTTTATAACCCAGAAATTAATCATGGAAACCATACCTATATCTGGTATAATTTACCCGATGTCAATCCAGTTTGGTATAGCTGTTTGTCAAATATCAGAATTCAGAAGTTGTTCTACCCTCTCTTTTTTTTTCATTCTGAAAAGTTTGCCTTGATTAGCCTCTTTTTCCTGCCGGTTGGAAACTGTCAGGGTCATGCCTAGGTGCAGCCGTAAAGAAAAGATGATTGAGGCTAATGATCTAAATCAAATGTTGCAGAATGTCTTCATTGGTTCCAAGCGTGTAGCATGAAAGCATAGAAATAGCTCAAAATCACGT